ATGGGATATGTGCTCAGTCCCACTGCAGCCACAGCAGAAGTGATGGAAAGTATTTTGAAAGCAGAAGCACGAGGATATTTGGAACCATTGGATGTAGGGTGTTGAGAGCAAGTAAAGAATCAGGGTGACACTGAGGTTTTCAGCCTGAGTAATGGGAGGGCTGGACTTGCCATCAATGAGACAGAACACAGGTTTTAGGGCCGGACCAGGAGTTCAAATTGAGGCATGCTGCATTTGAGATGTCTATGAGTCATGAGTATACATTTCTGTGACGTTCAAACGAAGTGAAGTATGCAATTTGGACAAACCCTTAAGCTGTATCTACATAAGGAATGAGTAGATGGGGTAGGTTGTTCAGAGAGACTTGGCCTGAAAGGAATGTACCCTCAGGCTAGAAAATGTGAGGCCACTGCTTTAATTTTGTTTATTACCTGCTTCCTCTGCCTACCCTCACTGTTTACACTTAAAAGTATTTTAGGGGCTCCTGGGTGGCTCAGTCGGTTAAGTGTCCGACTGCGGCTCACGTCCTGATCTCATGGTTTGTGAGTTCGAGCCCCATGTTCAGGCTCTATGCTGACAGCTCAGAGCTTGGAGCCTGCTTCGGATTCTGTGTCTCCCCCCACCTCTCTGCCCCTCCCCCACTCATGCGTGCTCACTCTCTCTCTCTCTCTCTTTCTCAAAAATAAAAATTAAAAAAAATTTTAATCCTTAAAAAAAAGCACTTTAAATGTTACATGAAGTTACATGACTCCCCAATTTTTTTCTACTTTACCTACATATTTTGTCTAAAATGTTTATTCCGACCTATATTCCTAATATAAAATATGTGAGCGTGAAGTTTGGCTGTCATCTGGCTGGTTGACAATAGGAATCTTAGACCTCTTGACAGCTTACCCCTAGACCCGCACCCCAACTGTGCTTCAAGCCATCAATGTGCTGTAACCTGCCATACAAATGCTGTCATGCAGTTGCTCTATACCTAGACTGAACCAGGCACTGTATAAAAACACCATTTCTGGTGTGCCTGGGTGACTTAGCCGCTTAAGTGTCCAACATCAGCTTAGGTCATGATCTCGCAGTTCTTGAGTTCGAGCCTCACACTGGACTCTGCATTGACAGTGCAAAGCCTGCTTTGAATCCTCTGTCTTCCCCTCTCTGCCCCTCCCCACTCTTTCTCTCTCTCACAAATAATAAATAAACATAAAAAATACGCACCATGTCCTTTCTTCTCCCCACTCCCCATGCCTTGCTCTTTAAAACTCCTCATGCCTCCTCTTGCCACGTCCCCTACATATGCTGTGCTGGGTCTATCATGGGACAGCACCCCACTCAACAATCCTACCTTAAGCACTGCTCTGGGGATGCACAGCACATTAGATGAAGCAAACCCACATCCCATCAGTCACACAAATTATGTGAAAAGATGACCAACTCCCCGGAGTTTCTGGACTACCACTGAGGACTTCCAATCTGGGCAAGGAGAAATTGTAACGACGACATTTGTGGCGCATTCCCACAGCAGCTGATAACAACCTGCTGCTGAGCCTTGCTGTCCTGGGGATGACAGATGTTTGCATTTGTGATTCATAGCATCAAGAACCAAGGAGATGCCTTTCTGTCACTCTGTTCTCATGTCCTTCTCCCGTAAACCATTTCATTTCTCTGGAGGGCAGATGGCAGGCTCTGGGGAGCTATAATACCACTGCTTTACTCCCCCCTTCTCTCTGCACTTGTTTAAATACACCAGGTCACCTCAAAAGCCAATTTCTGACTGACTTTTGGCTTACCAAAAAAAAAAAAAAAAAAAAAAAAAAGCTTTTGATGTTGTTCCTAAGATATGTGGACTGAAGAAGTGATAAAAGCTATAACAAAGTTTATCCTGAGATTCAGAAGAAATGAGGAAATATAATTCCCAGCCTAAAAAACCAAACTGTTCTTTTGAAATCTAGTTAGGAGTGGGGGAAAACATCGATACTCTGCTTCAGTGCCTTAGTACTTAGAAGAGATATATTGGGCTCTATAATTTAACTGCCAAATCCGACATTCATATCCATCTGGACATTTTCAAAAGGATCCTTGAGCCAGTGAGAATTGGCAGTTGGCTGTATAATCACACCTGCATATGGCACAGGAGGTTTTTAATGGGCAACAGTTAGAGAAAGAAAGTGCTGCATGATAAGCATTCGCTGAGAACCCACACTTAAACATGTTTGCACGTGTGAGTAATTATATTTTAGGGCTCTCTGTTAACAACACTTTGTTCTTTCTTTCCTCCAAATCAAATTAGTTGGGGACATAGTTCATTTTGCAATTGTTTGGAAAATGTTTTGGTGTTCTAAATTTCCATTGTACCAAACTTTTGCAGAGTTAAAAGGCAAGCCACAAACCTCCATAACCAGTGAAAGAAAAATGCATAAAACCAGCAATAAATTAAACATGACAAACACACACTGAATAGGAAGGAGGGTGTAAACAAAGCTTGTGTCTCTAAGTCTATCAATCTCCATGTGGGATTTAGGTTCGGCTCACTGTATATGAAGATAATCTTTAATGTTCCTGCCTTTACAAAGATCACATTTGTCTTGGTCTAGTTTAGGCTGCCAGGTCTCTCCTTCCACCTCCCTTGAAAGTGCAAGCCTAACTGTACATAGCCCCGCACCATCTGGGAGTGAAGCTGCTGTATACTGGGGGCTACTCTTTGAGATGATTTTCAAAGAAAGATCAAAGGTAATGAGGAAGGAAGCCTCCTTAGTTGGAGAGCCCAAGTTAAAAAAGAAAAAAAGAAAAAAAATTGTCATGACCCCCCCTACTCTGCTAAATAGAACCCGTTTTGGGAAAAGCAACGAGATAATCTACAAAAAGCACTTGAGATGGTCTTGCGGAGGATGGAGACTCTGGCTACTCTGCTTCCTTAGAATAAAAGTCACTGTGTAAAAATCCTATAGAGAATGGCCATTCATCCCTCTGTACGAGATGCCATCTCAACAGCTTCTGGGGAAAGGTTTAATATCTTCCAAAGACCAACCTAGAAGGAGACGTCTAAAAACACTTGGAAAATTCAAAATTATATTTAAAACGTGGGGTAGGGACCTCGAAGCAACTTCAATCTTACATGTGCAGGGAATCTGTGGCCGCTTTGGCCATGCTGGGCACTTCCTCTTCTTCACCCTCCCCTTTTCCTGCTTTTTAATCTTCCCATCTGTCCCCTGGCTGGACCATCAGTTTCCAACACCAAAAGCAATTGTAACCCTTTGTGTGTAGAAAATACTCCTGAAAAATCAGAGATGCCTAATATAAAAAACTGTAGTCATCACAAATATGATGTGAAAACAAAATTGTGTTTCTTAGTACATTTGGTTCTCTTTCTTTCTTTGGTAGCTATAAGGCAATCTATGAATTTATATGATAAAACTCTTGTTTGGTTTTGACTCCTGAAAGAAACGAAAAAAAAAAATCGTTTCTTATTTATTGGCCAGGCAGTAGAGGAATCACTCTTGCCTTTCCAAATGGGAAGGGATTTTGAGACATGGATGGGGCAAGTGTCAGTATACAAGATGTTATGATCATTTATGATCATCACAAATACGACTTGAGCACTCAAGCTTGGGAGGAATGCATATGGGTAGGAAGGGTGGGGGTAACAATGAGAAAGAGAGCTGTTCTTAACTAGGATCATAAGTTTGGACTGTAGAGTAGTTTTCTCAGGATTAACTTCTTTTTTCCTCATGGACAAAAATCCAGTTTTTAAATTGAAAGATAGGGGCTCAGGTTAAACAAAACATGGCTCAATTCAGCCATAACGATGAATATATACCTTACATGGATGGATCAGTCAGAATTCACCAGCAGATAATGAAACCACTCTAGCTGGTGAATTCTGTTAAAGGATTTAAAAGGAAATACATGGTCACAAAGTGGGTAGAAGGGCTCCAAGCTGACATTTGCATGAGTGACTTGTGGAATGACACCGACGAAGCTGTTCACCAGGACAACTATTCCCCATCCCCTCCCCCCACCCCCAGGCATCCAGGAAATCAGGGAGCTTCTGTTCTGAATGCAAGCTCTAATTCAACTGTTCTCTTCTCAGCTCCACCCCAGGAAAATGGATCCCCCACCTCTCGATGTCTGGGAAATTAAAGATGAACAGTGGGGTCCCTTAACTGCTTCCACAGGAAAAACGTAATAACTGCATGCTAACACAGAGTCCGACTCTGCTTCACACATGCCTTCCAAATCATATTCAAATGCCATTACTTGGTGGAAGTTAGGTCATCTGAAAACATAAAATAGTTGAAACATACAATATTTGGTTTCCCAGGCGCTAGTATGACATAAGGCCATGGTTCTCAAACTTTGCTGCATATGAGAACAATGTGGGGAGCTTTAAGAGTCCAAATACCCAGACTGTTCCTCATATCAAGTAAATGTAAATCTCTGGGGCTTCCTATGTTTTGTTTTTGGTTTGGTTACAAAAACACCACAGGTGATTCCAATGTGCAGTGTTGAACCAGACACCGGGCATGGTTTCTCAAGCTTCACTGTACATATGAACATTCTGGGTATTTTATAAAAATGCAGAATTGGATTCCATTGGTCTGACTTGGGGTCCAAGATTCTGCAGTTGTACAAGTCGTCGGGTGATGTCAATGCTTCTGCTGATGACACTTTGAGTAGCAGAGATGTAGAGCAGGAGTCCTCAAATGTTAGTGTGAATCAGAATTGCCCACAGAGTTTGTTACAACACTGACGGCTAAGACTTTATGACTCAGTCGGTGTGAAATGGGGCCTGAGACTCTGAATTCCTAACCAGCTCTTGGATGATACCGAAGCGGCTGTTCTGGAAACCACGGTCGTACTGACACCACTGAGTGAGCCAATCATTATATCTGTTAACAGATGGCCACCACGTGGGGTTTCTAATGAATTCACAGACTTTATATTCATTTGGATCCAACTGATAGAGAGGGACTCAGAGAAGAAAGTGAAATGCAATTACTTACACCAAATCCAGTTACCCTTATCTTTCTGCCTTCCATACACAGAATTATTGGTGAGTTAGCTGGGGAGACCTCACAGGAACATATAGCTGGATGGCAGAAGCAAGGACAAGGAAAGAGAGAATATTAGTTTTATATATCTCAGTAAACAGACAGGACTATTTATCTCCACATCTTCCTCTTTGGACAATCAAGGAAATATCTGTTAGAGGTATGGCAGAGGTAAACAATCGATAGCTCATGTGGTTCCCATGGAAGAGGTTTCAAGTGACATCCAGCTTACTGCAAGTTCACTAGCTATACATCAAATGGCTGGTACTGTGTCTTTATTGCAATTCACTCTGGGGGTAAATTTCATCTCTGGAAGGAATACATCATCAGCCAACAGCTTCAACAGTTTTTAAAACCAGTTTTGTCATAAACTAAGGCAATAATAGTCTTTAAACAACGTGTAACTTACCATGTCAGAGAGAGTTTCACTCAAAATCATGGTTTGGACTCGTCACTTACACATTATTAGGATATCTCCTATCTCCCCATATATGGTCCTTCTAATCCACATTTGCAGGGTACTGAACTTATAAAACAGAGGTTCAATATCTTACTCATGAATCCTGCATGAGCCAACTGAACCCAAAAATACCATGACCTTTACTTACTGAAGAATTAAAAAGGAATTAAGACCTCCACTTAGTGAGGAACTAAGCACCTGGATTTAAATGCAATGCAACAACCTCCATCAGTAGAGGAGGAAGGAACCCCATGTGAGAATCTGACTAGTAGTTTCTGACCCTTTTCCTTGAGTTTCAACTCAAAATGAATCACAATATGACCACTTGCCCCCACTGATTCCAAGCATTTTCTTTGGCACTATGAGAGAATCTATCAAAACTACTGAAACACACAGTATACTCCTTGGCCTGGGGAACGCAAAGACAGATGTGACAGTGAGCTATTTTACTCATTTTTACACTTCTCACACTGAACAAGAGGGTCTTCTTTCTTCCCCTCACAGCAACAAATTCTCTGATTCTCCAGACACCAACTGGGTGTCCAACATTTCAATTAAATTCTGACACTACCCATCCAGAGTTAGCACAGATTCCACATGTTAAGGGCTCAGTCCAACAAGATCGTCCCCCTACTTCGGATGCCAGGTGCAAATCCCAGGACTTCCATATTTCAGACCGAATGGTTACAAATTGGGATTTCCCACAACCTCTTCCCTCAGGTTCAATTATTATTGAGTTTGCTAGAATGGTTTACAGAATGCAGGAACACACTTTGCTAACATTTACCAGTTTTTAGTAAAAGGTACAACTCAAAGAACCAAATGGAAGAGACTTATATGGCAAGGCATGGAGGTGTGCCATCCACCAGCACTTCAATGTATTCACCAACCCGGAAGCTCCCAAATCTCATCATTTAGGGTTTTTTAAAAAGGTCTCCTTATGTAGGCATGACTGATTAAATTATTGGTCATTGGTGATTAACTCAATCTATAGTTCCTGAGAACAAAAGGTGCTCCCATCACCCTTAGCACTTAGAAAACTTCAAGCATTTTAGGAGTTCTGTGCCAGCAACTGGGACAAGGGCCAGATATCTCACTATATAATATCATGAGGGTCAGAGACCTTGAAAGTCTTGCAACCAAGCTGTGGAAGTAGGAGATGGGACATGATGTAATTAACAATACAACAATGCATCATCTGTGAGTGTTACAGGCTAAAAGTGTTATAGGCATTCAGAAAATAGAGTTCAATTACCAAGGGCAAGAATAGCCTGGGCCAAACCAACCTCCCAGGTGGTGTGGAGGCTATTGTACTTACTCCATGTCAGGAAAGGCAAAGAGACACAAAAAGAAAATCCTGGAAGCTTAGTTTAGTTTGGTTTGTTTTTATTTTATCTGAGGAACAGTATGGAAAAGGAGAAAGTAAAGTTAGGAATGGAACTGCATGACTGGATTTCCTCCTTCCCATCCCTCTTCTGTGCCTCAATGTTGGGGATTCAGGGGTGAAAGGGAGGTAGGGGAAGAAACTTAAGAAACAGTAGAAGACCAGGGCATCCAGGTGGCTCAGTCAGTTAAGTGCCTGACTCTTGCTTTTGGGTCAGGTTATGATCTCACAATTTGTGGGATCACCTTGGGTTCTGTGCTGACAGCATGGAACCTGCTTGGGATTCTCTCTCTCTCCCCGCCCCTCCCCTGCTCCATGCTCTGTTTCTCTCTCTCTCTCAAAATAAATATATAAACTTAAAAAAAAGAAAGAGAAGATAATTGACATTGGGAGTTCCTGGCCAGCCTTCCTAGTCACAGTGAAGAGTCGTGTGTAACCCCTAGAGGAACCCCAGCCTACAGTTTGGCACCAACAAAAAGCTAACACAGAAGTGACAATATTGGAGAAGGCAGCAGAAGGGAAAATGATGCAAGAGCATTTCAGCAGACCACACTCTGTGTGGGATGTGAAGGAGCCTCAGAAGTCCCTGTGTGCTCCATGAGGAGACGCAGATGCTCTGAGAGAAACTAGACAATGGTGAGGGTTCAGAGAAGGACGGAAGAGGCCTCTGCAGACAGAAAATCCACAGTGCATCCAGGACCTTGAATGTTAGAAGAACACTCCAAAAAACTGAAGGGGCCATTCATACCTCAGCAGGAGCCCATCCAATGGGTAGACCAGTCTGGCTATGCCTACTACAGAGGCCAGCAAAAATCCAAAGATCACACCACAAGTCTGTTAGGTCAGGCAATTTCTAGAAATTCTATAGTTGGGTATTTGGTTATGGGATTCATCCATATAAAAGTAAAAACTAAAGGGGCACCTGGTGTCTCAGTCAGTTAAACGTCCAACTTCTGCTCAGGTGATGATTTCACGGTTCGTGAATTCAAGCCCTGAGCCAGGCTCTGTGCTGACAGCTTGGACCCTGCTTGGGATTCTCTGTCTCTCTCTTTGCCCCTCCCTTCCTCTTCTCTCTCTCTCTCTCTCTCTCTCTCTCTCTCTCTCTCTCTCAAAAATAAATAAATAAACATTTTTTAAAAAGTGAAAGCTGAAGTCATACTAATGAATGAATGGGTAGTATAATATGAGCCAATCAGATGTGAAGAAGGGATGTGGCTGTAAAAGGTGGAGAGGTGACCATGGTAAGCTTTTACCACCCCATTTTGCTGTAGAAAGTGAGGCTCAAAGGCAGGGACAGCATTTTGTGATTTACAGAGATGTTGTTGAAAGAGATTTTTAATGCTACCCAAAACCTGTTGCCAACTCACTATTCACACATCAGATGCTGAGAGTTGTGTTATTGACACCATGTGGCAAGAAAATTCAGTTTAAAAAAATTCTGAATTTTGCAAGTGTATCATCCATTACCAATTATTAAAGAGAGACAGCAGAGCGGCTTCAGATGTAGGTAAATGCACGTGTTGCAAACAAGGAAGAAGAGAACTTCATGAGAAAGTGATTGGTTAACAATGCTGAATCCAGAGAAGCCTGAAATTGAAGTTAAAGCCTTATAAAGGACAGAGGTAGAAGAATCCAGAATAAAAAACAGGGACGGGGAAGAACAGAGGGAAGAAGGCGTGTCTAGTCATATGAGAAATCTTGCAGTAAAAAAGAAAGAGGGTGTACTTCAGGGGGTTTAGAGAAGGGTTTTTGAGTCATCCGTCATCTACTACCTATTTTGTGGATTCCTACTAAGTTAGGAAAACCTGCTCCATATTTATAGACAAAGGAAAGGAGGAATTACAGAAGAAACAATGAAGAATGCAAGAGAAAAAGGAGTATGCACAAAGGAATGGAGCCCTGAGAAAGAAGGGCTCATGAGGTGGGGAGGGGTGTAGGGGATCACCTCATCTGAAACAGGAGAAGTGGGGGACAGCACGAGAAAGTCTACATCACGGACTGTGGACAGAGTAAGGAGGCGGTCATTGCTCACACCATGGTCTCTCAACCTCAGCATTGTGATCATGTTGGGCTAGATGATTCTTTGTGTGGGCAGCTGTCCTGTTCAGGGTGTTAACCAGGGTGTTACCCTGACCCTTACCTGTTGGATGCTAGTAGCAGGTGCAACAATCAAAAGGTCTCCAGACATTACCAACGTCTTCTGAAGAATATGGCCAAAATCGCCCTTGGTGGACAACCACTGGGTTAGAGAGACTGGGTGGAGGCACCAAGGTGAGGAAGGGGCTCCCATGTTCCAGAGGCCTCAAACCTCCAAGGGGTGAGTCCACATGGGAGAAAGAGGAATGTGTGTGTGCAGAAAACTGTATAAACACGGAGGCATGAGTTATAGAAGGTGGAGAAGGAGTTAAATCCCATTAGAAAAACCTCGCTCCCTCTTAAGCAATCTCAAAGCAGCAAGGTCATATGGCCTGGTTAGAACAATTCACTGCCTTTCTGGAGAGGCAGACATGAATCTCACAAAATCCCCATCACTATTACATATGCTATGGTAGGTGAGTTTCAGAGGCGACACATCCCTGCTCTTGTAAAATCATGCAATCTACTACTGAGGTTCAAAAGCCCTGTGGGAAATTTATAGTAAATTACTACAGCTGCTTTTAAAATTACACAGGAAAAGGCTACAGGGGAGCACCCCCTTCCACAAGGTGGGTCCTCAAAGCCTCTTCAAAACCCCATCGCGACCTGTCACGTGCCATGGAATGGGGAGTGTGGTCACCCGGCCCAGAGAACAAGTATGCTTAGTCTCTGTGTTCTCAAGGAAGTTCTATGGGATAGAGATGGCAAGAGTTAAACAAACTGGAGATTCTAGAAACCCTGGCTTCTGAATCATACTGGTAAGAATAGTAAGTTTGCCATTTCCAGGTGTAAGCTCAGGGAAACAGACTGCTTTGTGAAGGAGATAAGGAGCTATCTCCTTCAAATCCCTCATCACTAGCCTGTTGCCACAACATGATTGGTGGCAGTGAGTACTGGGCACAATTTTCTTCACACGTGAGGCGCCTTCAGTAGCAAAGCTACAGAGAGTTTCTCCACCTCAGTAACACATAAAAGTAGGATTAGGAATCTTCCCCTGACTCTGGACAAGCCATACATGCTGCTGTTTAGCTTACACATTGCTCATCAAGCCAATGGCA